ACAGTAAGAGTTCAAAGAAGATAAACGGGTCTTGTTTTGAAAGAAAGAACGAGTCAAGTTTCGAAAGTGTTCACTGAAATACTATAGTCTGAGAAAGTTTTTCAACGCAGTAACAATAATTATTCTGAAACACTGCCAAGCCAGATAAAAAACTCCATCAATTTCCTTCTTTATAATTCCATTTCTCATTGGTAAAGCAAACTGTTGGAAACACGCCTAATACAAATTTTACTCCACGTTTACTGAATGGGTGTTAAATTTTGAGTAAAGAAATAGAGTCTAAAATCTTAACAATCGGTTAACCAAATTTCATCGAAGCGTTTTCTGCTTTGCCCAAATTAATATGTTTGCCGCGTGAAATAATGTGCCGCAATATAGTGTTCGGATTCCCACAGGACACTAAAAATCAAACACAATGATCGTAGACATAGTTAATAATCATTTGGTACATGTAGTTTTATTCGCTATGGACCTTTCAATTTGTTGAAAATGTATAGTGATGATGCAATTTAGCTCTTGACGTTTTTTTATTTAATATCAGTCAGACATCAAGAGCCACCTTAAGTGCTGCGCATGCATGTCTGTTGCTTTGACAGCCATATACTTGTTTATACGTACTAAAACTGTGTGTACCAGTGTTGGTAGTACCAATGTGAAAATGATGTGCTGAGCGGTTATATTACTACCTTAAAAAATAAGCAGAAACTCGACGTTTCGAGCGAAGGCCCTTCGTCAAGAGGGCCTTCGCTCGAAACGTCGAGTTTCTGCTTATTTTTTAAGGTAGTAATATAACCACTCAGCACAGCATTTTTTCCCCGAGCCGACGGCGCGAAGCGCCGTGCGAGGGTACTAATCCCCCCCCCCCGGCTATTTACACCCGGGGAAACAAAAGCATTAGCGAAGTCTAAAGTTCATCAATGACCGCGGGCGCGCTCACCAACGATGTTGAGTGGGTGGTCATCACTGATCTCAAAATATGGCTGTTCGCCAGGAGTGAAGGCAAAAAATATAAAAAAATACATGTAAAAAAGCTTGGAAAATCGTTTCACATAACAAATTGTACAACGTTTTTGCAATTTTTGAACGTAAACATTGATAAGAATTGATATTGTATGATAAATATTATAAAGTATAGGGCAAGTTTGTTTCAATTGTTTATGTATGACTTTGTCCCCGAGCCGACGGCGCGAAGCGCCGTGCGAGGGTACTAATTCCCCCCGGCAATTTACACCCAGGGAAACGAAAGCATTAGGGAAGTCTAAAGTTCATCAATTATCGCGGGCGTAGGTGACCAACGATGGGTGGTCATTCTCTCTCATCTCAAAAATATGGCGGACTGTCATGAATAGCGGACACTGATTGGTCCAATTTAAAGTTTGCATTATAACCACTGTATGACGACAGCGAAATAGCAAACATTTCTTGATTTGATGATTGATAAATTTCTTGCAAATATATTTCATTTTTGCTCGCATTTTTGCAAGATTTTGTAAATTTCAAAAGCTTTCTCATAAAGAAAGGGCGAAAAAATCGGCTAAAAGAAGGGAGCCGACATTCAAAACCCGACGGTCTTTGCGTGTATGAACCAACTAAACAAGAGTACAAGACAGCATATAATTTCAGTGTATCTCTAATATTGACTCCCTTTTTTATGATATTGAATTTTTTAAATAAAAAAGAAAGCAAAGTTATTTGCATGCAAGAATTTGAAATCATTTTATTGCAAACTCAAAGTTTATCGATAAAGCCATTTAATTAAAGGCAGTTTAGTTTTATAAAGTATACTTTAAAAACGTTTTGCGAAGCGTTTGTGGTTGAATTTTACCTTAATTTGAGTAATTGGGAAATTGATAATTTTGTAATTAAAAGCGATATTTTTAGACGATTTTTCATTTGTAAGAATATTCTTAAAAAATTATCGTGTTACCATGACAACTACTTTAGAAACTTCATGTTCGGAAAATACAATGGTTTTGTCAGCAAGGCCAGGCCTGGTTTCTGCATGCATGTATTTTCTAGTATTTATAATAATATAGACTTTGTCCTTGATGTTCAAGTCTTTCCTATTCATTGTTTGCGAACGTTTCTTAGCTAAATTAACTTTTGTAGAAGTTCATGATAAAAAGGAAAGCAAATTATTTTCATTAGCGTCCTGTACGAATTGAATTTGTTTCATTTCAAAGTAGGCCGTGGGCTGTTGGCCAAAATTATTTCGCTTCGTGGCACCCATGTGGGAAATACTTGGTTTGGGGTTTATTTGAAAGGCATATAGGTACATCACTAACAAAAAACGTTCCCAAGCAAAAAAGTTGCCCAATCCCGAGAAAATGGGTGATCAATGGTTATCCTCTATTAAATTGTATTACAGCAAAAAAATGGGAAATTCTGTATTCAATTACAATAAAAAATTACTTGCATCATCGGAAAACGTACAAAAAACCGCATATAAGACTTTTAAACAGTTTTTTGATTTTTCAAATAGTCTTCGAGTTATTGCTGTTTTAAATCTGAAAATTGCACCAAAATGTCGCAATAAGGACTGGGTATTAGGTCAAAAACACGTTTTTGACAGCGTATAACTCGAAAACAATTATAGATATAAAAAAAAATGTTTAAATGTCTTATATGTAGGTTTTTGTAAGCTTTCTGATAATGCAAGTCATTTTTGTTGTAATTGAATACAAAATTTCTTGTAATACAATTTAATAGAGGATAATCACTGATCATCCATTTTCTCGGTGTTGGGCAGGATTTTTGCTTGGGAACTTTTTGTGGTAATTGAGCATCTATGATACTGTGAATTGAACCACAGAAAATCTATTTCTCAGGGGAGTGCTACGAAATTGCTTTTCTAGGCACTTTTTTGCACAACAGCCCACGGCCTAAGTTGGAGTTCGAGTTGAGAAGTTTATAAATATCGGCAAAAAGCAGTTAATTTCAATTCACATTTAAAAACGTTTTACGTAGAGTTTCGATTTGAATTTTACATTAAAATAAAGCTCATAGAAACCAAAATACTTTATCTACTTTATATATTTTAGAAATTGATAGTTATGTATTTAAAACTGTTCAAATTTCATCTATTTTTCCCCCAGTTTGTACAAAAAATGAAAAAAATGAAAAAAAAATATTCGTAATTACGCCAACACTGAACGCGAGCTTCCGTTCAGTGTTGGCGTAATTACGAATACTTCATGTTGAAACAATGTTTGCAAAATATAGGCGAGGGGTTGTTGCATGCATGTATTTCTAGTATATACTTGTTTACTTGGCTATGCTTTAATTATTCTTTTCACGAACGTATATTAAGATAGAATTAATATTTGAAAGATCGAATGTAATTAAAATCAGTAAATTTATCTTTTTATTGTTTTTAAAAGGCTATTTAATAAAGGAAATAGAAAACATTTTTTCCGTGTTCCTATAGAGTTTATAGAAACATTTGTGGAAGTTTGGGAGAAACTCGAAATTGCGTGGAAACACTCGCACTTCGTGCTCGAGTTCCCACGCAATTTCTCGTTTCTCTCAAACTTCCACGCGTGTTTCTATAACTCTATAGAAACACGGAAAATATTTTCCATTTCTTAATTTTATTTGACTTTAAAACGTCGGGCAAGACAGCGATATTTCTTGACGTACAGAAATACACAAAACGAGAAAGTCTGCATGCAGGTTTGAAGAATAATGGGTTATAAAGCTATGTTTAGGGGATAGGGATTAAAGAGTGGAACTAAGTACAGAAACAGACCGGGAAAGGATGTCGTGACATGTGGTGAACGTTACGCGCGCGGTGGGGGCCGGAGGCAATTATACCAACATGAGGCGCGTTCTCTCAGTAGGAAATAGTTCAAGTTGTGTGTATGTAATATATAGCTATGCATATACAGAGTGCATAAAAAAACTGAACAGATTTGAAATTTCGCAAAACACCTATTTGTATTCGGTTTTTTATGCATATAGCGTCTTTGGGTACTTATAATGTAGAATAATGAAAAAAAATTCTCGAATTCAAATTTTGTGACCCGGGGGGGGGGGGATCTTTTCCAACAAATTAAAAATGGCTCGCGCACAAAACTTAAAAGTTGTAATCATATTTTGAGTTAATAGATGGAAAATTTGTCCTGTTTTTAATTACTGTACAAAAATTCTGACAATTTGGTTTAGTTTAAGCCTTTAACTATTCACGCAAAGTTACATTTTTCCTAAAAATCAGCTATTTGCATGCTTAATTAATGCCTTTGCCTAATTTGCATATGTCAGCAATATGCAAATTAGGTAAAGGCATTAATTAAGCATGCGAAAGGCTGATTTTTTAGAATAAAATGAATAGTTAAAGGTCTAAAACTAAACCAAATTGTCTGACAATTTGTACAGTTATTAAAAACCCAACAAATGTTCCATCTATTAACTCAAAATATGATTACATCTTTTAAATTTTGTGCGCAAGCCATTTTTAGTTTGTTGGAAAAGACACACCCCCTTGTTCACAAAATTGGAGTTTCAGAATTTTTTTTCATTATTCTATATTATAAGTACCCAAAGAAGCTATATATATAAAAAACCTGACACAAATAGGTGTTTTGCGAAATTGAGAGCAATTTCAAATCTGTTCAGTTTTTTTTATACACCCTGTATATGTTAAATAATTTAAAGTATAAATAATTTAAAGTTGGGTGTCTTTCTGTCCGTTCTGCGCTTCAGTTCTGCTCGCAACAAAGGCGGACCCGCAGATATAAACATTGCCCAAATTTTGCATCTTTCGTTTTGTATTCATTTACATGCATAGTATATCATATTTTACAAATATAGCAGTTCAAAATCGATTTTTTTTTATTTTTAATTTTTAAAAAATCACTATATTTCCGGCGGACCGCGCGAGGAACCCACGCGACATTTTGTAATCCTACTTCCATGCATAGGGAAATTGAATTACTTCACTATTCTAAACAGGTTTCAAGAAGACAAGAACGTCCGATGAAGAACAGACATCCAAGTGAAGAATGTTTTCGCTTGCTGTTGAAGGTGTTGCTATTGGTTTGGATTTCTTTCTCTTTCGTCCCAGTGTATGCATTTTGGACGAATACGTTCCATTGTACTTAAGCCAAATTGGTTACAGTGCCTCATTTATCGGCTTGGCTCCACTCCTTGGTCTTATAACTCAAACTGTCGGCATACCATTGCTTGGCTATCTGGCAGACAAATTTCGAGCAAGAAGACTATTCTTATTTCTCTCTGTTTTTATATCAATCCCTAGCACTTTGTTATTTCTTGCTGCTGAAACCCCAGAACCAATTTGTGATGAATCCATGGGGAACTCGACCATAACAAATATCACCATAGTTACAGCGTTGAACAGAACAGACAATTTTACCAGCTTACCATCGGCATTACCTTCGTTCTCCATGAAAACTCAAAGTGACAATAACGGAGAAAGATTAAAATTCTTTTTCATGTTTATGGTTTTAAGGGGAATATTTGAACTGTCAAAGAGACTTACTGTCACATTGATTACAGTTGCCGCTATGACCCATTTAAAGCAGGATAAATCAAAATTCGGTTATTATGCATGTTGGGGAGAAATTGGCGGGTGGCCTTGCACTATTTACTGTTGGAATGTCGTTATACCACTTCCAACATAATGTATGTGGTGATCAGGCTCCGGATTATGTTGTTATTGTCTTTTTTGCTGTTGGTTTTCAGGTTCTGACGCTCGGCATATCGTCATTTATGAAATTTCAGTACCTTGAGCATATAGAGTGATAGATTACAAAGAAGTTAAGAAAGTTTTAACCAACCCTCATTATGTTTTAATTTTGGTAATTTGCTGTCATTCCGGCTTGTGCTCAGCGTTCCAAACTCGATGGGAATTCTGGTATATAGAGAAACTTGGTGGGAGTTCAGTTGTAATGGCTGTTGGAGGTTTAGTGAGACGACCAATCGTAGCCGTTTGGTTCTTACTGTCCCGTCTTATAATTAGTCGATTTGGGCACAGGGAGCAGAGGAGTCGAGTTTATCTAGTAAAACAAGACAAACACCATCTTACCTTGTTAATTCTAGTTGTAGAATCCCAATGTGTGCATTAAAAATACATATTTATTCATCAAAGTTATCGAATATAAAACCAAAATATGAATTTCAACAATTAATATACTCCGCTGCCTTGAATTACCGTAGACTTGTATTTCCCGAAAAGCTAACGAACACTGTCCGAGATATCAACGAGTAAAAACTAAGAAAGGGAGGAAACATTGCGGATCTTTCGTCGCATGTGCACCGCAACACCCTATGACGGAAGTGAATAAAACCGGCCATTGACCAATGACGAAGCAGACCTTCATTTGACAGTTGTAATTAGTATTCGAAAAATTTGAACAATCATGCATAAACACGAAGCAATACGTCACTTCCGTCATAGGGTGTTGCGGTGCACATCGTAAGAAAATAATCGATGAATATCGGTCGTCAAATATGTAGGTTAAACGACCGTTTATGGAAATTTATTTCCTAGCGTAGTAAGAATAGATCATTTCTAGCTTGCATGCAAAAAAATATGTTTTTTTATGAGATACTAAGCAAGTTATAGCCATCCTAAAATATCACCTTAATGACTGTTTCCTCCCTTTCTTCGTTTCTTATTGTTTACTAAGTATAGCGAAATGTGAGCCCACGATAATCTAGAACAGCAGAGTATATTCATTTGGTGTTCATGTTACATGAAGTACGAATAAAAAATCATACAAGGCATACAATGTTTATAAACTTTATATGGTTTCACGACAACTTCAACAGACTATAAATTGTAAAATATGCATTTTTAATGCACACATGGGGATTCTACAATGAAAGATATTACAATTAACAAGGTAAGACGGCGTTTGTATTGTTTTACTAGATAAACTCGACTCCTCTGCTCCCTGTGATTTGGGGAGATGAAAGTCGTTGCTTTTTCATTGTTCATTTTGCTGGCACTTTTTTCGCACTGGCCTTCATCGAAAATGCCCGGCTTGTTATCGTGTTTGATAATTTTCAAGCTGCATCCTATGTCTTATCATTCGCATCGTTTGTTGTCCATTTCTCGAAAGCTGGTTCAGAAGCATCGACTGCTTTTTTTCAAGGTACGTTTATTTAGTACTTCGTTAAAAAGCTTTGTGAATGAGGAAGATCCTTTATCTCTTATATGTATAGGGAGTTTGGAAATACATCCGGCAACTTTATAATGAAGACGTAATGAATATCAATAGCAGATTTGTTGCAAGACGATTTGGGCATTCTAGTACACCGTTATTTTTCAAATACCACGTTATGCACATCATTCCAACATTGCACAACATCACTAACATTTGATTAAGCATGATGTGAAGGATTACCAAAGCCCAGTTTGTGTTATCACGGATAACAGATGCATGGGGAAACCAAAGTAAATATTTTTTGTGATTTATTCTAAAGATATAAAAGACAACCGCGCCTGTGGGTTAAATTATTCAAATACATATATTCAGAGACTTTCGTCGTACCTTGTACTGTTATTTACGCCTGTATTCTAAAAGCTCACACACACTCAATAAGTGGAGGTTCAATCTGAGCTTCTCTTGAGTGTCATTGCTGTTTCTGAATACGACACTAACCCTACAGCTATTCAAAAACAGCAATGACACTCGAGAGAAGTTCCGATTGAACTTACACACATTGAGTGTGAGTGTGATTGAGCTTTTAGAATACGGGCGATAGTCTTTATTATACTTCTCATCCTTTCTGAATACGTCTTGTTTTTGGTCATCTTTTCACATTGCATATATCATGGCGATTTCGCCGTTGGCTTTAATGAGCCAATTAGCAATTACGAATCCTTTTAAATACACGATTACAAAAATTGAAATTTGTTAAATGGGTTAAAAGAAATACAAATTCTAAGGTGTTGAAAGACAATAAACTTAAATTAAGTTGTTTGCCAAACTCCCTTATTAAATATGGTACAACATCATTCTAAAAGCCATCTACAAATGGTAACATTGTTGAACGTTGTTGAACGTTAAATTGATCTCTACCGTATAGCCGTTCATGTTTACCGAACTCCCTTATTAAATATGGTACATCTTTCGAAAAGCCATTTATAGTAACATTTGTGTATCAATCATTTTCTGAACAGGCGCAGTAAGTTTAACATTCCATGGCATTGGAAAGGAAGTTGGTACTGCAATCACTGGCTACCTATTTACCGCAGTAGGAACAAAGATTGCGTTATGTGCTTTTCACTGCTGACTGTGGTTCTTCTTATGATATTTTCAATTTATATGCTTACTGCTAAAGATCTTATCGGTTACACGAGAATACGAGAAAATGAAGGGGATGAAGCTGAAATGAATCTGGTGAAGGAGGATTGATTTGGTTTTCATTTGATCGTGAGTGGTCATATATCATTAGCAAATTAAGATTTGCACATAACACACCAAAGATATAGATCAAGAATATTTAGCATCGATGCATACAATCAATCATTAGAAGGAGGAGGACAAAACTAAATGCAACCGATTAGTCAGTATACATGTAATTTTCTGTTGTGAAGGGGTAGAGGGGTTATTACAGACGGGCCTTCAACAATTTCTCCTCTGAAAAGGGGCGCACTATTTGAAACGGATTTATTTGAGGTGTGGAGGCGTAATAGAGGATTTGCGGTGAAGGGTTTTGCAGATGGAAATTTCAAATGTGAATTTTATTCACTAGACCAAACCAGAAGCAGTTTCTAAAATCCTGATATTTACCCATACACCTTAAAAATGCATCACCTTAGTATATGTACATGAACTTGCGGTTAGAGGCTTACAGCTCGACAACTGGACTCTGTAGCTCAGTTGGTTAGAGCGTTGCACCGGAATCGCAGGGCCGCATGTTTGATTACTGCTAGAGGACCTACAGTTGCATTTTTCACAACTGCTCCTGGTTAGATATTTTCAGACTCGAAATTTGCATCTACAAAACCGTTCAACAATTATTAGTTCTATATCAATTGTGGATGCTTTAAATCCTGACTGGTTACGACAGCAGAGTGAAAGTTAAACAGATCTGTATATTTATTATCAAGTTTTATTATGGCTAGAAGCAATAGTTCAATTGTTTTGTTTGATTATATTTCAAAATTAATTTCCATGCATGACTGTACTGCTTTTTTCACGCCAAAGATGACTGCAATTGATATAGAGCTACTAATTCAATTACGGTTGTCTCTGAAAGTCAAAAACTTCGACCAGTCGACCTCTAAGCGCGAAATGCACAATGGGCGTGTTTATTATGAGATTGGTTATGTCATGCATGTTAGCACGATATGTAATTGCATAATTCTACTGCTTACTAGCATTTCGATGTCTGTGCTACTTAGGGCTGATTTCCACTGTTGCGTTTTTCGTACGCACGTACACGCACGTAAAACTTTGAATCCTTCAATTTTTTAAATATTTTACAAATAAGATAACAAATGCATACTAAAACTTGCGGAATACTAAATTCTGTTGCTTTATTTATTTGGTTATTTCACAAGTAACATTTAAATGGATTTAAAGTTTTACGTGCGTATATTCAATGGGTTAGCAGGTTTTTCAGTTGATACACTCTGTATATCGATATAATACCTTTTCTTATACACTACTTTAATTAGGCGCAGCGGTGAAAATATGGGATTTCGACTAACAATTTTTATCGGACTCATAATTATTTGCTCAAATGTTCTCTATACAGGGTGCATCAAAAAAAGATAATCCAACTTCAGCGCGCTATTAATGGCACCTGAATTACTCTGCGTATGATCAAGATTCGTATTCGGAAAGGCCAAATGCACGTAATTTACCAATTTGACAGCCTACTTTTGTAGGTATATTAACTCTTCAATACATGCATGTAAAGTTGTGTTTCCCCATGTATAACTCTTACTGAAACCCACTATAATACCCATGGCATTTTTTAACTATATATCTACTGGGGCATTTACCCCAGTAGGCCCTTTGCTTGCCCCAGTAGTGAAGCATGATTTTCAGATGAGCTGGGCTCTTTTGATCATTAGTAAAAAGTCAACCTTGTTGGAAAAAGCTGCATCTGTTTGCTTTCTCATACATCCTCTCACATTCTCCAGATTCTATCTTATAAATGTCAGAACAGGCAGGTGCGGCGCTAAAGGGGGGTGTGGGTGTGGGGTTGAAACACCCCCAGTGAACAAATTATCTAATCCCAGTTGGATAGGAAGCAAAGAAACTAAAATATTTGAGTGAAACTGATTAAAAACCAATAATTGTAGCTAAAATTTAGAGAAAAAATACAGATAATTATTGCTCCGTTCTTATGCCTGGTTCACACTGGTCGTAAGAATCGGGGATTTCCATTGTCTGTGACCATTGGTGTGCAAAATCCGTAAATCATTTTCACGAACCGTACGGTTCGCACGGTCCGTAAACCCATTTTAAAGTTCGTACGGACCGTACGATCCGTACGGATCGACAAACTTTTATGCCCTGACTTAAACACAACACCCCATCGACAAAGCATGTTCACGATCCGTAAATCATTTTCACGAACCGTACGGTTCGTACGGTCCGTAAAGCCATTTTACAGTCCGTACTGTTCAATGTTTTACCATCTTTACTATCCGTATACG